TAAACAAGCGGCCATCTAGCTGAGAAGCATTAACATCCACATGGAAGAAGCACACCAGCCTGTGTGACCACGAGCTGTCGAGGGGATCAGGTATGAAGCGTCAAAGATCAAAAATCATATCATTGTAAAAGAGGGTGAGCGAAGAATGGAGACTCAAAGCCCATCGGTGGGCAACTAGACACCCCCTTACTGAAGGTTCGTGGGGAGGACATGAGCCAGTCATGGGGCAGAGTAGCAACGATGAAACATATAACTTTCCTCTAGTTCTTAAATGCTTCCTTCCCCCCACTATCATGATCCTAATTCTACCTTATAAATCTGGCTAGACCAGATGATGTACATTGATTGGTACAGATAGCAACTGGAAACACAGGGAATCCAGGACAGATGACCGCTTCAGTAACAGTGGTGAGAGTGGTGATGTCTGGAGGGTGGAGGGAAGGTGGGATGGTAAGGGGGAACCGATTACAAGAATCTATGTATAGCCTCCTCCCTGGGGGATGGACAGCAAAGAAGAGGTCGGGGGAGATGTCGGACAGTTTAACATGACAAAATAATTTATGAATTATGAAGGGTTCATGAGAGGAGGGAGGGGGAAAATGAGCTGATATTAAGGGCTCAACTGGACGGCAAATGTTTTGAGAATGATGATGGTGACAAATGTACATATGTGCTTGACACAATGGATGTATGTATGGATTGTGATAAGAACTATATGAGCCCCCAATAAAATGATTTAAATTTTTAAAAAAGATTTGAAGAAGGCTTGTTAACAACCTGCAATATGCTGATGGCACAGCGTTGCTTGCTGAAAGCGAGGAGGACTGGAAATACTTGCTGTTGATGACCAAGGACTTCAGTCTTCAGTATGAATTACTTCTCAATGTAAAGGAGACTAAAGTCCTCACAAATGGACCAATAGGAACATCATGATAATGGAGAGGAGACTGAAGTTGTCGAGGGTTCTGTCTTCTTTGGATCCACAATCAATGCTCATGGAAGCAGCAATCAAAAGATCAAATATGCATCGTTAGGTAAATCTGCTGCATCAAACCTCTTTAAGGTGTTGAAGCAAGGATGTTGCATTGGGAACTAAGGTGTGCCTGATCCAAGCCATGGTATTCTCCATCGCCTCGTATGCATACGAAATTTGAACATTGAATAAGGAAACTGAAGAAGAATGGATGCATTTGAATTATGGTGCTAGAGAAGACTATTGAAAGTCCCATGGGCTCCAAAAATTAATTGTATAAAGTATTATTTTCTTGGTTCATATATGAGGGAGGCTTCAAAAACTTTATAGAAAATGGAATTAAAAGATTGTGGATTTTTTTTCGTGAAAATGTTGAAGCCCCCTCATAATTTTTATTTTAATTTAGAAAAAAAACCCCAAACTTTCTGTGCTCACAAAACTGAATGTCAGCTTTGTCTTTATCTCTGGGTTTCATAAGGTATTTCAAGATTTTTACATATTGAAAATATGACTCATACGTTATTTTATTTCAAACTCAGAGTTAATAATAATCAGGAGATTTATTTGAGAAGATTTTGCGTATTAAATACTCACCAACTAAAGTATTCCAAACTGGGAGTTCAGGATTATTTAACCTTATTATATACTTGAGGACCTCTGTGTGAAAGGTGAGCACTGACAAATGAATGATATTATTTCCTTTATTGTCTGTTTTTCTCCAGTTAGCACCAAGAAAAAATAAGTACTGGATGGTATCCAGTGCTCCCGAAGTGGCAGCAAGTAACAGTGGGGTACACTGATTCCTAAAAAACAAGGAACATATAGTTAAGGACACATATAGTGTTTTATGTACTTTTTGTAAACTATTCAAACTGCTAATGAAGGAATTCTAATTTCCGTCGCCATTTTCTCTTTCTAAAGCGCCCTGTCCTCTATATTCCACATGTGATTCGATTTGCCTCCCTGGTACTCTCCTTTCCACCTGCTTCAAATACTAATAGCTGTTGCCAACTTCATTACCGTGCCTTATAAATTGCCCAGCATTTGGGAATATACAAAGTTCACATATAACGTATACGCTATCCTGTTTGATTCTGATAATAACTCTGTGTTAATTAAAAGTAAGGCAATTATTATCCAATCATTTTAAATATTCTGAAACTGAGGCTCAAAACCCATTTCTTTAAACTTCATATCTATCTCTTAAAGCTCAGAAACTGACTTTTTTTTTTTCTTTTTCAAAGAAAATTATTATTTGCTTCTTAGATAGCAAATATTTGTTGTTGTTGTTGTTGTTGGACACAAAGCTATCCAGAAAACTATTCTCAGCCTCCCTTGTGGCCGTATGAGTCAGTCTGGATAATGGGATGTTAATAGATATTTCATGGGCAATTCCCCTAGAAGGAAAAAGAATATGCATTACTTTCTACTCATGGGTAGAATGCACATATGATCATGGAAAGAGGACTCACTACTTTGGACATGACAGGAGCCACATATTAAAGAGGAATAAAATAGTTCTTTGATACTTCCGATCAGTACGTTAGTCCCAGAGGATCAATACAGACTTTTCATGAGCAAGAACTATATGTACATCTTGTTCAAACCACCCTATTTCTTTGTTTCTATGTTATAGCAACTTATGATCTATCTTAAATAATCAACTGACTAGCAATGTGACCATAAGCAAAATGGGAGGCTTTCTTCATTTGTTAAAGCCAATCAAACAAACAATCTACCCAAAGCTAACAGTTGCCTGGCAGTGCAGGTATAAGAGTGAACCAGCACAGGCCTAGAGTTGGTGGGCAGTCAGTGTAGACAGTCTGTCTACCACAGCCTTGATAGGTGGCTTTTACCTTTTACCCTATTACATTGCCTCAGTTATTATTTCCCTTATCCACATAACCCACGCCTTCCTATCTTAACTAAAATCTTTCCTCTTGGTACTTACCTTTCAACGCTCACCTCCACCCTCTCCTCTATCCCCCACCCCCACCATTTAAAAAAAATTATTAAATACTCTTTTGGGGGGCTCTTACATCTATTATCACAATCCATACATTCATCCAGTGTGTCAAGCACATTTGCACATATGCTGCCATCATCATTTTCAAAGTATTCTCTTCCCACTTGAGCCCCTGGTATCAGCTCCCCATTTCTTTGCCATCCCTCCCCCGCCTGCTCTCCCTCAGGAACCCTTGATAAGTTATAGATTAATATTTTCATATCTTGCATCGTCCTCCATTGCCCCCACCCAATTTTCCATTGTTCGTCCCCCTGAGAGGGGGGTTATAGGTTGATCCTTGTGATCAATTTCCCTTTTCTCCCCCCACCCTCCCCTAATCCTCCTGGTAGCTCTACTCTCATTGTTGGCCCTGGGGAATTAATGTATCTTGGATTCCCTGTGTTGCGGACTCTTGTCTGTAGTAGTGCACATGTTCTGGTCTAATCCGATTTGTAAGGTACAATTGAGGTCTTGATAGTGGGGAGAAGGAAGCACCGAAGAACTAGAGGAAAGTTGTGTGTTTTATCAGTGCTATACTGCACCCTGACTGGCTCATCTCTTCCCTGTGACCCCTCTGTTAGGGCGATGGGCATTGGGTTTCTAGTCCATGCCACCAACACCACCACCACCTTCTCATTCACTATGGGTATGATTTTGTTCTGGGTCTTAGATGACTTGTACCTGATCCCATCGACACCTCATGATCACACAGGCTGGTGCTCTTCTTCCATGTAGGCTTTGTTGCTTCTCAGCTAGATGGCCGCTTGTTTATCTTCAAGCCTTTAAGACCCCAGATGCTATATTTTTCAATAGCCAGGAACCATCAG